TATGATGTGTTAGAACAGGTCAGGCTCACTGACTGTAATTTGACAGCAGTCCCAAGAACAAAACAACTAGTAAGCTAGTTCTACAGTTACAGAACATTATGCACGGATGTAAACAGTTAAATGGTTCACATTAAGTACGGTACAATGTACATTTGTGGTGAAATGTTGTGATGTAAAAAGACGATAATAAAATTTAAAAAAATATTCGTAAAATTAGTTCAAGAAATTGTTATCTGTTGTTGCAATTCCTGAATTGGGAGTAAAAAAAATGTATGCGGCCCGCCAGTCCCCAAATTGTTTAAATGCGGCCCTAGGTAGAAAAAGGTTGCCCACCCCTGAACTATGACCATCAACGCAGTGCTATTTCGGGTGTATCTAATGGGCGTCAATTTAAAAAAAATGACTCACTGAACACAAAAGTGAAAGGCATGAAGTAAATGTATTTCTATTTCGTTTTTTTCTTTCCATTTTCTTTCTATTCTTTTTCAATTTTATAATATTTATATTCCATTTTTATTATAATTATATTCTAATTCTTTTCTATTCCATTAATATTTGATTATTCAAATCCCTTCTCGCCTTCTGCTCTTTCATTCAAGGCCAGTGGGAAGTTCTTACCATTGCTCTTAGCTGAGCCGAGATCAATCGCCACCCGGTCATTGGTGAAATGGTCGAGGGGCTAACACGAGTTTCTAAACAGGGTTTGTGGGGGAGGGGGTTAGCAAGGTAGGAGGTTTTTTTAATTTGAACGTGTGGGATCTCCTCAGTTTTAGTTTTGAAACTAACTCCTAACCAACAAACTATACTGCTATTACTCATGGAAACAAGTAGTTTTCTCTAACTACTGGAAACAACGGAACAAGCAATTTGTGTTTCAACTGCAAGATATTTGAGGGAACCAAGCAATCTAGGCAGATACAACAAACGGGGAGCAAGAGAATTATGTAAGAACTCCAGCAGACGATCTCTGTGGAATGTGGGTTTAAAAAAAAAAAACACGTCACGTGTCAATAATTTTGGAAGAAAAAAAAATGACCTGAAAGTAGGGCCAGCCTTAGGCCACTACAACCTATGCGACCGCAGTGGGCCCACCACTTTCAAAAGACCCGCGCTAATTCTAGGTGTAAATTATTAAATTAAATCTCCTGAAATTGCAAAATATGCGGAAAAGTCCTGGAAATCTCCGAAAATTATTAAAATCTTTTGAAAACTCATAGATATCTCCTCAAATATAGACAAAATTGTCATTTTGGGGTGTCATACAATATTGGAAAATGCCAATTCTACGCGCGATAACAAAAAACTGCATCATGCAATACACGTAATTGTGTAATCTGGTGAAAGAAGCTTCTCGCGCCTCAAACTAATGAAGAATTACTTGAGGTCAACAATTCTCGAAGATAGATTTGGTAATTCTTGCTATTAAGCGAGATCTTTGTAGGAAACAAAACTTTTATGTTATAGGCCTACTGTAAGACTTCGCCACATGCAAGGCTCGTAATGGTTAAGTCCGGTCTTTGCAGTATATTATTAGACTCCAATTCTCCACCTCATTAAGACATTTTTTGCTGCTTTTCGTCGGTACTTTTTATATCCATATTAGCGTGCGCTAACCTAAATCTATTTAGATTGTTTCGTTTGCTAACAATGTACAGCCTTCTAGCACTAGACTCTTGCTCCCTGTGAAACAATACACACCTCTTAGCTTTTGTCACATTTAAAGCGTTGATTGTTAGAGAGGGGGGGAGAGGGGAGCCATCATGCTAAAGTTTTTTTTCCTTCTTTCCGCTCCTCCCCTCCTTCCCCCCCCCCCCGCCCCCCATTGCTGAATGGCGGCTATTGTGCAACCTCATGACATCAGCGAGTTCTCTTGCAACGTATCAAGAGTGGCGTCAAGCCGAGTGGTTCAAAGGTCGCGGTACTCATTGCAATTCTCTCTGCTCCTCTTGTGAATTAATTCCGCGAGAGTTCCGTCCCCTTGGTACACTCGGCGCTAGCAAGTTGTTGTTTTTTTTTCTCTTCTCTCCCTTTGTTTGTTTTTTCCCCCGCTCACGCCCACCTAGTGATGCTAAAGGGAAGATAACTTCAACGGCAGACGATTACAACAGATGCCGTCTGCTGGTAAGGGAAGATTAGGAAAGGGTCTTAAAAAGGACTCAAGTTTGCGCCCCATTTTTTTTCTTAGCGCTAGATTTAGTAGAAATGGACAAAAAAAAAAAAAAAATCACGTATCTGAGATGAAAATCTAGATAGTTTCATTTAGAAATCTAGTGCCTCAAATATAAATAAGCTATTTATTGTGTGCATAATAAAAGAAGGTAACAGTCATTAAAAGTATGAGTTCCCACAGTGGTAGGGTCGGCCTTAGGCCAATGGCTCCACTTGGCCCCGCGCCTGGCAGGGGCCCCTCAATTTATATAAAGCATATCTCTATCAGTCATGGTTATTTTCAAAGGCTTTTAAAGATGTAGGACTTAAGGGGTTAACATATTTAGTGTAGGTTTAACGTACGACTGGCGTAACTTTAGTTAACCCACAGACACCTATTGCGTTTGAGTTGCTTCCAATGCATGTTGTATAATTAATGTTGGCATAATGATCTAATTACTTGTAATAGTTGTTATTGTAAAAAAAGAAAAAGAAGAGGCTCCTCGCAAGCATCCATTAAATTTCAATATAATAATAATAATAATAATTTTATTTATTAAGCGCTGTTAACAAAACAAACAAAATGTAGGCTCAAGGTGCTGTAATAACATTACAAACACGACAGCTAAAATGACAAACTAATCTAAAAAAAGCTTTAAACAGATTGGTCTTTATGTTCTTCTTGAAAGTAGTGTAATATCTAGTAAATTGTCAATACAATTTATCAAGCTCTCGTCCAAATGTGAAGAAAAAAACTATGCCTTGTATTAACTATTCCGAAACGACCTACGTATATTTTTTCGCCTTAGAACTGGAGACAACAGAATGAGACTGTATAGGCCTATGTTTTGAAAGCTAAAAGTTGGGACCAGTGAAATTTGCTCTTGTGGAGTGTCACCAGAGAATGCCGACAATGTCTTTTAATACTGCAATTCTCCATCAAACAATGCTGAGTCCAAAACAACCCTAAAACGGAAAAACTATATTAGGAAGAGTTGCCTGGTCTGGAAACAAGTGAGCAGTTCATCTCCTATAGAGGACTACTCGTCTGAACAATATAACTTGACGATAAAAACCTAGAAGCAGAAGAAGTCAGTTATATACCGGTATAAAGTATCTAGTCATAAAAATTAAAATTTAAAAAAAAAAGGTAAAGTTCTCCTTTCAGACACCGCAATTTATAAGTTAGATGCTGTTAAGGTCTCTGACCCTTGGGCCAACGGATAACGAGCAGGGTGTCATGTGGCCAGCACAACCGCCTCCACTTTCCCAAACTAAAGTCAGGTACCCATTAGAGTTGGGTACAGTTATGGGGCGCCCTAAAATTACCGAAATGTAAAATCCCAGTCTTCACCGATATTCAAACCCAGGACCCCGGGTTCGAAAGCCAAGCGCTGAACCACTCAGCCACCGCACCTCACATAAAAATATATATCAACGTATAAACGAGATGGTCATTTTGTTTACAAGTGAACTAGTCGTAGTGCAGGTTTATAGTGTTAAAAGGTCCCTCCAAATCGGACGAATGGTGGCAGCTGAATAGGGAAGAACAGGTGACAATCGCTAGGTACAGAACGGGACACTGTCCAATCGGTGCCTATTTTGCCAAATTTAAACCAAACTTCGATTCTCGCTGCAGGCATTGTCAGAACGACGTCGAGACAGTAAACCACATCCTTTACGAGTGCGCAACACTACACCCTAAACATGGCCATATGAGTGAAGCAAAAACTTTCCTTGTCCGTGTTATCAGAGAATAGAGTTCTCAACACGGTGCCCTAGTGCGATGAGACTTACACGGTTTATAGTGTTGGGTTGATAGTGGTTCTTTAGTATTGTCTTCTTGATATCCCTTGTCTGTGTACATTAGTCCCTGGGTTGGCGGGGAGGGGAGGAGGGTCGACAAACCTGGGTCATTAAACACACTAGCTGTCAGCAGCCATTTAGATGTCTGTGGAAGAATTCACTGGCTGGTATATATAACTGTAGAAGAATTTAATAGCTGGTCGATATGACTGTAGAAGAATTCGATTGCTGGTCTATATGACAGAAGAATTCAATAGCTTATCTATATGACTGATGAATAATTCGATTGCTGGTCTATATGACTGAAGATGAATTCAATAGCTGTTCTATATGCCTAGAAATTTCAATAGCTTGAATGTACTAAATTTATTTTTCAAGACACGCCCGATTCTACCATATTTCACTAAACAGGTAGACTCCACTTCCAGCTTAGGTAAATGAGTTAAGTCCATAGAGTATTTCTGATTGCTGTTATTAACTGGAACGATTGACCTCGAACTTGTGTAACGTAAGTGTCAAGGTCGTTTTAATTTTATGAACATCCTGTTTACCTATCAAGAAACAACAAGAAGCTTGCAAGAGGACTAAAAAAAAGCCGAGTTTAAAATAAACATGATTTCTGCCTCGTTCCTGTCTATTGGAGAAACTAATTTGTAATACAAGGGAAGACAATGAGCAGAGTCAGTCAATAAGTTTCAAGCTTCATGTTAAGTTGTTTTTTTTTTGTTTATGTGCTTGTGTGTGGGAATATATTATTGAATTAAAGTTTTATTGTGTGTTTTTTAGTATGTGTTTAATCTTTTCGTGATTTCTTCTTGAAGTATTTGTTTTATTTTGTATAGTAGAGTTACTTCTTTAACTAATCAAGGATATATGCATACAATAATGCTTTTTATTAGACAATAGATTGTTATATTTAAAATGTGAGAATAGGTAAACGTATTGATTACAAATCTCTATAATAACATTATGCATGACATTCTATAAGCCCATTACAAAGAACTTAAAATACTATTTCGTTGATAAAACACACAACGAGTTCCGAATATATAATTAGAATTGATTTATTTCTTTGCTTCAAAATAAAACCATTTGTTAGCTGACATTGTGAAAACATATATATTATGGTAATTTAAAAACAAAAACGACACACAATAGATAAAACAAATGAAACGAAAGAAAACAAATCTGGAAGAAGCTGATAATACGGCCAACAAGACCAACAAGGGGCAAACAACTCTTCTCTTTCACAGCCACTTCTTTTTCTAAGGATTATACAAGTTGAATAAAAAGAAAAGAATATATTGGTGGACCTCATAATGACCCCACTCTGACCCCACTTCGAGACTCGACACTTGGTAAAAACAGTACAAAAAGAAACACATCAAAGGGTATTTCCTGACACTCAGTGATAATTGTCACACAACAGGATCTCATTTGTTATGCATGGGCTCAAAATGAACCAAAATATTTTTGCTTCAAAATATTTGGCTATTTATATTTTGTCCTCATTTGTTCTATGCTGCGGAAAAAAAAATGTCCTAACATTGATTTTTATATAATGTACCTCCATTCCATAAATTAAGCACTTGTTTTACGGGCAAAATAAAATTAGCCTGCTATAACATTTAACTAGGTCAGTAGTGATGCACTCACTACTATCAGCAGACGACTTGCAATGAATGGGGCTCGCCAAAGATAGTCATAAAGCTAAAATATATATATATATGTAAACCTTCAATGAATGAGGCTCGCCTTAGGTAGTTTAAAAATCTGAAATACCGGTACATTTATATAATGAAAATACTGTTTCTATTGTGCTAATATTGTCTACACTCCATATGTACAGAAAAGTGCTTCCAATATCAAAGAGTAACAACCAAAAATAACGTCCACAATTGACAGAATTATAATAAATAAGTATCAGATACTCCGGAGACAGCAACTCAAATAGTTCTCTTATAGATTCAATATGTACAACCATTTCAAACAAAATTCTTACTAGTTATACTATTATGGCAACACGACTTTTAAAATGAGTGAGAAATTGTGGGTGGGTGTGGGGGGGGGGAGGGAAAGAGGTTAGTGTATGTGTGTGAATGGGTGGGCAATATGACCTTTGCCTTCTTAAGGAAATAATGTTATTTACAATCTGACCCAATGCACGGGCAGTGTATAAATATAATTTATATACAGAACTTATATACAGCTTAATTATGAATATAACAAGTCTCAGGATTCAAACCAATAGAACATACAGGATAACAGGCACACAAAGGATCTTAGAGCAAGAGACTGAACATAATTGTATACAATTGTGAACACACACAAAATCTTAAGTCTCTTCAATCTGAACATAGGCATACGTCTACTTTAAGCTTATACTTACTATCATACTAATATGGCTTAGTAACTGTAAATAAGTCTGTAAGAAACACTTATGAAATAAACAAGCTAATCAATCTAAAAGAACTTCAATGTAACCCACGGACAAAGTGATTTCATGATATTTCAAAAGTTAAATTGGAGCATATTTTGGTCAGTGAATAAGCTTTCTTAATTTTTGTAGAGCCACAAAAGTTGTGCCAATAGACAGTGCCACAAAAGTTGTGCCAACAGAGAGACTGACATAACAACGAAACAGTGACATTTCTGTAACACTGGCCATTATGCTTTGACACACTCAATGATATGATAATTTAACATACAGAAATAAGATATCGGAAATAAGATAGCGCGTGTAATGAATACTAGAATGAAAACTAGAAATCCACTTCTGGTTTAACATTAAACATGAATCAAGCGTGAACAAGTGAGCAAACCAGAACATAAAATGTTCAGACTAAAAGAACTTGAGTAGCCAATATGGTCACACATTTGAGCATTAGGGTTACATTTTCTTTTCAAAACAATAGACTCCAATCAGTGGCGTATCAGGGGTGGGGGGAGGGGGAGAATTTGAAAATCCCCCAGGCCTCCACTTGAGGGGGTCCCCCAAATGAGTGTTTTTTTACATTAAAAATTAAATATAACACAATGCAGGGGTCAAGCCCCCCGAGCTCCCAAACAATGGAAAGTTCCTAGCTACACCCCTGACTCCAATGACTTAAAGTTTGGCCATTGACCTAAAGTGTGGTCAATGACCGAAGTGCAACCAATGATAGTGAGGCCAATGAGCTATAATGTCGCCAATGACCTAAAGTGTGGCTCATTGACCTAAAGTACGGCCAATGACCTATAGTGTCGCCAGTGACATAAATTGTGGGTAAATGACATGAAATGGACACAGCGCTATGAAAGTTAAATGACATGAAATGGACACAGTTCTATGAAAGTTAAATGACATGAAATGGACAGTTCTATGAAAGTTCGATGACATGAAATGGACACAGTTCTATGAAAGTTAAATGACATGAGAACCGTTACAAGCTGTGGTGTGTTACTGGACTGTACTATGCATTTTGTATTAAATCTTTTACTGCCCAATGTAACGTTTGTGATGTTAACTAATGATAATTTATGCACATATATGCATGTCACATGCTAATTTTACAGTTTGTTTATTGTCTGGGCCCAAGCTGGGCATTCTTGAAAGAAGTCTCAAACCCTTTTTGTTCCCTCCCCCTATTATGTGTTCTACAATAAACATCTTGATCATCCCTGTGGGTTCCCATCCCGCAACCCCTGCATTCCCCAGCCTGAACACATCAATGTCTTAAAACATGCTGGATGGCTCTAAAATGTATAACCAGCAGTTCACATGTCACACTGACCATAATTCACTATAATATCAGAGGTTCTCAAAGTGTGGTACAAAAAAAAAACAACAGAATATCCCCAGGCAACATTTTAGGATTGAAGCTTTCAAACGTTAAAACATTTCTTGGTAAACAAAACCAGAGATATAATAAATAAAACGTTGTGAATGGAAGATTAACTAAGGCTTAGTCTAAATGATTATTTAAAAGTACTCAACACAAGAAATAGGTCATCTATTGTAATATGATGTCCACTTATTACCCTTTCAGCAAAGCAACCACATAAAGCAATGACACAAGCTGCAATAGTATAATCCACAGATATACGAAATAATAGTACATTATCAATATTTTAATCCGAAATATCACAAAATAGTGTTTTTGTCAACATTTATTTGGTATTCAGGTTAATGAATAAAATGTCAATACTGAATGATCAGTCTTTTACTTCATTAGCCAGCATCTTGTTGAATTGTTTGGCTGTAGCCAATCAACTATTAGGTTTCTTGTCATATGATCCACTACTATCCAATGAATGCTGGTTGGATTTTAGCTCCGGAACTGATGCTTATTAGAAATTTTTAGTATCCATATTGTGACCTGGTTTGCACTATATTTCATTCAAGTATCAAGACCTAGTTTATGATTAAGGGCACAGCCTGAGAATTGATTATACATAAATCACTAAGAGGACTAGGTCAGTGTCTACAAAGGCATGGCCATTGGATGGAGAGTTTGACTCATGGCGATACTCCTGCAAGCTTCACAGTTGGACATTTTGCTGATGTCCTGCAACTTCTTGGCTATGGCTTCAGCAAGAAGAACAGCCGGGCCAAGTTTCATGCCGAGATTCTTGACCAGATGGTCTGTGGTCAGCAAGGCTAGTATTCTCCCATCGACTCTCTGCTCACGGAAATGCTGAAGGGGAAAGACAAGGAAAACGTGGATAAAATTAAATATAAATATATGTGCGTATCTGCTATCAACTAAAATCAGGAATCCTTCAATTTTATTACAATTATCTTAAATTTGTTTATAACTCAATACAGTGTTGTTACAAAAGACAAAGGGATAGGGAGGGGGAACTAGCTTGTAAATATAAACTTTTGTATTAATATAGTGAGGTTTGAGATGGTCCTGAAACTCACAGAGCTTAGAACTAGATGGTCATTGTGGTGACCACATAATCCTTTTGTATACATTTACTTTAAAAAAAAAATATTTCTAAAAACTTTACAGACCTAAAGATCATATAGGTCTCCAAGAGTTTAATCATAATTATGAAATTAAAGGTAAAAAAGTAAAATTTCCTCTTCCAGACCTTGCTGTCTATGGGGCAGATGATGTTAAGGTCATCTGTTTCTTTGACCCACGGTTAACGAGCAGGGTGTCATGTGACCAGCACAATGACCAACCGCCTTTACTTTCCCCAACTAAAGCCAGCATTAGTGTTGGGTGGACTCAGGGGTGCCCTAAAAATCCCAAAACCAGTCTTCACCGAGATTTGAACCCAGGACCCCAGGTTCGGAAGCCAGGCGCTTAACCACTCAGCTACCGTGCCCCCAATTATGAAATTAGTCATGTGAATAACAAAATGCTTGAATGGATAATCTTACTTAGAACAGTAACTTACATCAGCATATACTCCACAGCCATCCAGAGAGTTCAGGAACTTGCAAACATCCTCCACGCCCCACATTCGGATGTCCTCGTCTCGGTGGTCAGCGCAGGCACAGTGGTACATTGGCCGGGCATACTCTGGCAGGGCAGAGAGGTAGGCCGCTGCCTGGGAGCCGTACTCCATGTACCTCTTTCGAAGATACTCTGCCGTCTTGTCCATGCTGGTGGATTCCAGGCCGCAAGGGATTGACTGGGCCATGGCTATCCGCTGTTGCTGCTGCTGTTGCTGCTGCTGTTGTTGGGTGGCTGCAGCTGCTGCTGTAAAGTACTCCCATGTTGAGGTGTAATCTTGAGGTCTACCTTCCATTCTGAAAACAAAGAATTTGAGAAATTGCTTAAAATACATTTCTAAAAACAAAATAAAGAAAAGGATTCTCACATTGTAATTGAAATAGACTCGCGCTGTAAGAAGGGCATGACCTTAACTAGAGCCATAGTCTAGAAAGACATGGCGATGCCCCAACGAATAATAGCAGAATTATAGATGTTTGTTATTAGAATTGATACTAGTTGTAAACGTGTAACCCAAATTTCAATAGGTTGAAAAATTGGTTTATATTGAAAGAACTTTTTTTATTATTTGTTGCTTTCCTTTCATTTTTAGTGTTAAGTAATTTATCGAAATAACTTGCATACAATTTTCTAAGCTATTAATTTCACCTTAATCTTTTGGCGTTAAGTTCCATTGCTGCTTCCAGCTCGCTGGCATGTCTCTTGGATCCTACTGCTGCAGCCGCCGCCGCCGAAGTGGAGGCAGCCAGATCTGGTATCAGGTAAGGATACGCCGCTGACCATGGATATGCAGCCACAGAGGCCGCCAGAGACCGCTGGTAATCGAGGAGGGACGCCTGGGCGTAGGGCTGTCTCTGGAGCAGCGGGTGGAGCTGGGCGAATGCCGGGTGAGTGTACGCCCCGGCGGCAGTCTGGTACATGAGCTGCTCCTTGGTGAGGCCGCCCAGCTGATGCCCATAGGTGGAGAGGTGGTGAAGCAAGTGGGTAGGAAGCGCTGTTTCCTGTGGTCTCATTGCGAACAAAGAAGGCATGTACGCCTGCGTTGGGGACCTGAAAAAAAAAAAAGAAAAGGTTCAACGTATTGATTAAGTTTACCAATCAAATGCCTTGTGATTTACATACGCTCCTCTTATATACTAATTTATTTTTACTTAGCGATTTCTGTGTTTAACTTTATGGACATAGTTCCCCTTTCAGACCTCTATAGGGTAAATGATGTAAAGGTCATCTGCTTTCTGTTACCTACGGTTAAAGAGGGTGTTATGTGGCCAGCACAACGACCGACCGCCTTCACTTTCTCCCAACTAATGTCAGGTACCCACTAGAGCTGGACTCAGAGGCGCCCAAAGATCCCAAAATTATAAGTTTCAAGTTCAAGGATTCAAGTATATATAATGTATATATCTAACATATATATATATATATATATAGTAGGTATGTATTATGTGTTAGATATATACATTATGTATATGTAATTCTTGATATAAAAGGAAATAACTAGTGACATCATAGGATGAAAGTGAAAATGTTCTAAGTATGAAAATATCAATTCTGAGAACCTTTGAAAGGGTAACTCTTCTTAAATGCGTAGATTTGAAGATAGATATTAGTTTTGGTGAGATTGCATAAATCCTAA